GTCCCTCCCTCCACTCCCCTCTCCCTCCACTCCCCCAGCTCAGCCTCCGGGGCGCAGGGAATCTCCCAGGCCCCCCCCCCCCCCCCCCCCCCCCCACTCAGCAGCCCGTCCCCACCATCCTTCTCTGACCAGCACACAGGTCTCCGCGATGTTTGGACGGTGACTGAGGCCACGAAGTGCCCACTTGGCCCAGGTTCCCGGGGAGGCGCCGGCCCGGCCTGTCTCCCTGGGACGCAGCCCCTGCCCCCACCCCCCCCCGATGTCAGCACCACTCACTGGGACAGGAGGCAGCTCTCCAGCCTGTGTGCACCCCCAGCCCTGGCCCGTGGGCAGGACGAGTGGACAGAGGGAGGCGAGAGGTGAGCAAGGGGTGGGGACGGGGCGCCGACAGCTTCCCAGTCTGCGCAGCCGCCAGCCCGGGGTGGCCTCGGCCGTGGCCCTGGTCAGGGAGACTGCTGGGCTGGGCAGCAGCGGGTTTTACAAGATGGCAAACAGCACCCAGCAGGGCGGGCGCTCAGGCGGGGACAGGTGACCTGGGTCTGGGGGAAGCGGGGAGCCCCCCACCTATGCAAGGCTTCTCTCGTGTGGGACCCGCTGGCAGGTTCCATTCATTCATTCGACCCCAACCAAGAGCTGCTCTCCTCCCGCCAGGCCCTGGAGCAAGGCCTGGGACTAAGGAGGCCACAGGGACACAGGCCATCAGGCCTTCGGGCCAGGGAGAGGGGAGGCCACCCGGAAACAAGCCCCGGAGGCGAAGAAAACCCAGGAGGAACCCAGGCTGAGACAGGACCACAGGCCCCAGACAACTGAGAGGAGAGCAAAACAGGCGCAGCTGTGGGACCCAGATGTGGGATAAGGCTGTGGGGGACCCAGATGTGGGGGTGCAGCTGTGGGGGATGCAGCTGTGGGGATGCAGCTGTGGGGGACCCAGGTGTGGAGAATCCAGATGTAGGGGATGCAGCTGTGGGGGACCCAGGTGTGGGGATGCAGCTGTGGGTATTCAGCTGTGGGGATGCAGCTGTGGGGGGCCCAGCTGTGGGGGATGCAGCTGTGGGGATGCAGCTGTGGGGAATGCAGCTGTGGGGGATGCAGCTGTGGGAGACCCAGCTGTGGGGGATGCAGCTGTGGGGACCCAGATGTGGGGGTGCAGCTGTGGGTGACCCAGCTGTGGGGGATGCAGCTGTGGGGACCCAGATGTGGGGGTGCAAGCTGTGGGGGCCCAGGTGGGGGGGATGCAGCTGTGGGGGATGCAGCTGTGGGGACCCAGATGTGGGGGTGCAGCTGTGGGTGACCCAGCTGTGGGGGATGCAGCTGTGGGGACCCAGATGTGGGGGATGCAGCTGTGGGACCCAGCTGTGGGTTTGCAGTTGCCGCAAGGGAAGGCCCAACCCAGGGACAGGCCAGGTGACCCGGGCACGGTCACTGGGGCCTGCCTGCTGTCGCCCTTTCAGGAGCCGCCCAGACAGACTCTGGCTCCAGCCCGCGTGGCCGTGGTTGGTCTGTCCAGGGCACTTGGAAGTGAGGGGCGTGGGTGGGCTCGGCCTGCAGACCCAGCTCCGTTCCAGAACCATCTCTGCAGCTGGTGGGAGAGCCCCACGGCGCCAAGAGGAGGGTGTCCACAGTTAGGAGGGAGAGCCCCCCCACTGGAGCAGACAGCAGGAGGAGGGTGCCCTGGAGGGGTGCCCTGTGCTGGAGCCGGAGGGAGGAGCAGCCCACAGGCCACACCCCTGCTAGGCTACAGAGGGACCTGGCTCCTGGCTCACACAGCAGGGACTGGGGGGAGGGTCCTGGGAATGGGGGGAAGGGGGGCTTGCTCCCCATGGCTTAGGACAGAGAGAGAGCGGGGACCTCCCAGGGCCCGGGAGCTCCAGCGTCCACTGTCGGCCTCGGCAGAGGTGGTCCAGCTGGTGAGGTGCCCTGACTCCGGAGCATCAGGCCGCCCCTCGCAGCGCGGAGCGGAGCCCAGCCTCCGGGGGGGCCC